AGTCTTATTGTTATTTATTCGATTTTTTTGGTTTTGAAATTGAGTAATGTGGAGTTGATGAAGGGAAGCTACCATATTTTTATGGTAGAATAATTGAATTTGGAAAGTGCACACAAACTATTTGATTGTCTGCTAAACTATTTGATTGCGAATTTGTGATTGCCTTTGTGTTTGAAAATTTGTGATTTGGATAGGAATTAGTGAATGAGGTTAGATCTACGTGTAGATATTGAGGCCTTTGTGTATCTTATTGAGATTTTTGGTGCTGCTAATTCTTATCTGTAATCATGATATTTTTATGTTAGATCAGAACATCAAAACTATATGTTTTTAGATGAAATTGTGAAAAAAAAAATTGATAATTGTTTTGTTCCGTTTTGAGTTTGGTAAAAAAAAAACTCTGTGAAGCTGTATAAATATTTAGGAAAAATTTGTAAATCCTAAAATTTTCATGCTGTTTATTTTGTTATTCACAAGCTTCCCTCTGAATTGAACTTACCACAATCATAACATCCTACAATTAGATGCTTAAAACAAAGTAGCTATTTCTTGGTAAACAATAAACAATAGAAAAGACAAATTATAACAGATCCTCTCCGTACTTCGTTCTGTGTCTATCTACCTGCTTAGCAATGGAAGTTTCTTCCTTATAAGGTACCCTTTCAGCCTCCCTATCAGGCGACTATTCAACCTCCTTATCAGGAGCTTCATTAGCTACCATATTAGCTTTATAGTGCTTTCTCAGCTACCCTTTATCAGATCAGCTCTGCCTGATTCAAAATGTTCAGCTCAGTTTGCCATTAACTGTAACTTATGCTCCAATTTTAGCTTACCACAGCCCTCAGCTGACACTTGCTATTAATTGCCGACACTCTCAGCTCACGCTTTCAACTGCCACTTTATTGGATAAAGCACTGGACAGCTATTGGCAGTAGCTATTGTATCCCTTAGATGTATGCAGTAGCTGGAATAGTCACTGTTCATGTGATTGTTCAGTTGTTGCCCTCAATTCATTCAAGACAACAACTCCTCTCTCTTTCCAGCTATTACTTCTCGGTTGCAATTGAACCATTGTTTCAGCTAAAATATCTGAGTCTTTCAGCTTGAATTTCAAGCAGGCAGTTTTGTTATGGATTTCAAGCAGGTTGTTTTGCTATTGGTTTCAAGCAGGCTGTTTTGATATTGGTTTCACATGTCTGAGTCTTTCACACTTCTAATTTTTTTTATTAGTTTCACATTGCTGCCTCAACTATCATTCACTTCTAAATCGTACTTTTCTTTTTAAGAAATATATTTTTATCGGATAAGCTTCCATCCTCCCAGTGTGAACAACTCCATGAAATACTGCATATTGCATGTCAATTAGAGTGCGAACAGTATCAAACAACAGCTTAGGCCTATCTTTTGTCCTCATGGTAATCACTGTGTAATCCTTTTCAATACAATCAAATATTGTCACATGAGGTCTTGAGCTCTTATCGTCAATTCTCCCACATTCAAATTTGTCAACTTTTTCATAGTCCCGATCAGCAAGCATGATCTGATGTAATCTTCTCTCCCTATGCGTAAGGGTAGAAAGTGAAAGTGTCATTTTTGCTGCCTTCAAGTCATTGTTTCCCTTAAGAATATTACAAAGCAATTCCTTTATTGTGAAGAGCTGCTTTGTAGCATCATCCGTCTTGATGTATTTTTATATGTATTGTTGTTTTGGAGAATTTTTTGTTCATTTTTTACATGTAACGTAGTGCCTTCAAGCATGGACAATTACTAGTATATATAAATGATTGAGAATTAAAACATACATATATATAAACATTAGCCTCAATGGAAAAGATTAGGAAGAAATCCCTACTTTACTTCCTTTATGTTGTGTGAAAAACTAGAGGTTTTGATCTGATCCAATGCAAAAATTTCCTTCAATTTTGTGTTTCTCCCCTTCTTTCTTACTCTCCAAGGCTCTCTCTACGGTTAGAATTGATGAAATGGGGCTAAGAGAGGTGACCTTAGGTATTTACAGTGTAAAAATTGGAGAGAACACCTCAAAGCAGGTCTGGGACATGAAACCCTCAGTTTGGTGCGTCCAAACGAGTGTATTTTGCTGTTCGGACGCGTGTTTCTTTGCCCAACTTTCGGCCAAATGCTTCTGGACATGTGTCTATTCCCGTCCAAACACGGGTGACAGTATACTCTCAACTTCCAGATCAATTTTGACCTATTTAGAAGTTGATTTAGACAATTTTTGTGAAATACACTTTTGTAGCCCTTGAAATCTAGTTTGTAATGTCTAAAAATCAGATCAATCGGAGTTAGGAGTAAAAAGTTATGGCTAATATATTAAAGTAGTGTCAAATTCGTTCTTATCTGAATTCTTTCAGAAATGCATTTTAACTTTGAGCTACTTCCTAACTTTTAATATACCCCATATTACCTCTTCCAAAGTTCCTCGACCTTCCGGATTCAATAGAAACCTTATTTTCACCTAAAAATATTTACAAAATTACTTAGACATACTTTTCAATCCAAACATCTCTAAAACTCCATTTATCTCAACGTAAATACACGCAAAACTCAAACTTTATTGTCAATCTTTCAACTATGATTCAAAATTTCTACAATATTTTTATTCATCTTAGGACAAATATTAAGACTATATTATTTTTATTTAATTTTAGTACGGGGTCTTACAAATTTTCATCTTCTTGACTTATTATATTTTTAAAAACTCTAATCTCATCCATCTTTCATACTATATAAACCCTAAACTTACCCATCAAATTTTTCTTTGATTTTTTTTGAATAAAATATTGTTGATAGTGCAATTGTAGGCCTCTGATTCTTCAAAAAATTTCAAGACTTTACTACCCACAAATTTAAAAAATCCATCATTTTATTTCTTCACTCATCCATTTTTGTTGAAAATAATTCCTTTTTTGTGTTCTTCAGAACAGGCCCATATCAAACTAAATGTTTTTTTGAGTAGATATCTGAGTTTATTCATTGGAATATTCTATATCAAAATAAGCTTTTTACTCAAATTTAGATTCAAATTTGAGTCATGGTTTGAAATGCTCTAAGATAACACCAAGACTGACTAAAGAAAAAGACTATGCACAATATTTATCTATGTGTTTATTTTGCTATAATATGTGTGTTATTATAGAGTAATAGTGTGTGTTTAATTTGGTGTAATAGTGTGTATGTGTGTGTAAATTTTGGTGTGATAGTGTGTATGTGTGTGTAAATTTTGGTGTAATAGTGTGTGTCTATTAAGTGTTTTAATTATTTTATAGGTTAATAGGTTTAATCGAACTCATTATATCTTATTTAATACGTGAGTAAAAAAATAGATTGAATTTATTTTAAGAGAACCCACTCCAATTTAACCCAACTTATAACTAGTCCAACCCACCATTTGTCACCTCTATTTACAAGTTATTCTGTTTCACACAAATCCCACAAATTTGAACTTATCCTGAAGGCATACATTCTAGCCAAATAACATTCAGGTTTTTTGTGGACACTCTATACTCATATAACGTTACTCCAATCTCACCCCTTTATACTTGAACAAAACAATGGGTTTATGTTTAGCATCAAACATACTTTTTTCTAGAGGGGTGGTTTAGTGATTAAGCCTAATCTTTGATAACTCAGAGGTGTCAGATTTAATCTCTTCTTAGTTCTCACATTTCCTAAGGGTTAGCTACATTTGTCCCTTTAGGAACATGTACTAACCTAACTCAAGTCACGGTGATTAACTGCTGAACTCGAAGAGAATAGTCGACGTAAGTCTAGAGTTCCTGTAATAAAAAATAAAAATTCTATTTCCTCCCTTCAAGAACATTTTTGACAAAACTTAAAAGTAAATATCTTGAACTGATTATCATACATTCAATCCATCTAATCCTTTTTCATCGTTTGAAATCTAGATCTTACTAAATTTTCTTCACGACACTTTCACTAAATTTCGTAAAATAATAGATCATCCACCATGTACACATGAGCTTCGCACTTATAAATAGTGAGTCTCACTTGAATTTACAATTAAAATTAAATAAAAGTGTAACACGAAGAATCTCAATCTCGATCCAAGTTTTGATATAAACCCCTCTAATTTCAAGCCCAAAAGAAAATGGCATAGGATGCCGAAGTGCCAAAAAAGAAACAAATAGGGCTTAGGGAGGCCGGTACCTCTCAAAACACTTAATAGGATAAAAATACACTTTTTAAAATAATTGGGATATAAATACATATGCTAAAAAAAAGTCATAAAAGTCATTTTCCCCCTAACATAAATAGTGCATACCTAATTAAATGTGAGACTTTCAAAATTCCTTTTGATATTTGTGTATCATTTGAATTTTGAATTTATATATATATATATATACAGTGATATAGTGACATCATACGCTCAAATAAAAAATAGTAACATCAAACAGTGACACGTTCAACAAAAAAAGAGTAACATCAAACAGTAACACACTCAACAAAAAAATAGTAATATCAAACAATAACACAAATATTTTTGTTAAGCGTATCACTGTTTAATGTTACTATTTTTTTATTCAATGTGTCACTGTTTGAAGTCACTATATTACGTGTGTGTATGTGTGTATATATATATATATATATATATATGAAATTTTAAAATTTAAATGATACACAAATATCAAAAAGAATCTTGAAAATCTCACATTCTAAACATTTTAATAATGAAAGTCTCACATTCAAATAGGTATACATTATTTATGGTAGGATAATTATGAAATATATTTTAAAAAAAATTTGAAAATATTTTAAAGTGTGTACTTATTGATAACTATTTGATGAAAAAAATGACTTAATAGAGGATAAATTTATAGGTGATACTTAAAATCAAATAAATTTTTAAAAAAATAATCCCATCGCATTATCTCAAACAAATAATAGAGTCTGATGCTCAGCCGCTAATACGTCGCAACCTTATCTTTTTAACTAGAGATACTATTTCCACAATTCAAACAGATATATAATATTTTGGATAGCTTGACAGAGCCGGTCTTCATTCCTCTTCTTCTTCTTCTTTACTATTCTTTGACTCTCTTCCAGGGGGAAAGATTTTTCAATGGAAGTCACAAACAAGTTTGTAACAATAAAGCATCACATAGATGGTTCACCACAAGAGTCTGACTTTGAGATTAATATCGAAACACTCTCTCTCTCAGTTGAGCCTGGATCAAAAGATGTTATTGTGAAGAATCTCTATGTATCGATCGATCCATACCAGTTAAACCGCATGAAGACTTACAGTTCTTCACAAACAGCTACCAGTTTTTCAAGTTCCCTTACTCCGGGCCTGGTGAGTCACCTACTCATTTTTTTTCAAATAGAAATTGTTCCAACCATGTGTTTTTAGACCCGTGGCTCCAATGTACGTAATTACACACAAACCAATAACGATGTTTAGATATTTTATGTGGGACTTGAAGTTTGGAGGTGCGGGTTTTAGCCTCTGATGTTTGGATTGTTGGTTTGATTTTTGTGGCAGGCCATCGATACTCATGGGGTAGGGAGAGTTGTGGCTTCTGGAAATCCCAATTTCGAAAAGGATGATTTGGTTGTGGGGCTTATCAGCTGGGGAGAATATAGCATAGTGAAAGAAGGTGTCATCTTAAATAAGTTGGATCCAATGGGCTTTCCATTGTCTCACCATGTTGGAGTTCTGGGTAAGTAATTGGTCACCGCCATCATTACTATAATCTTTACAGTTGGTTTTTTATAACAAAGATTAGACTATAGTATCGATAAATAACTTTTTCTTTTAGTTTACAATAATTCATTATTTGTAGAAAATGACAGAAATTGCATATATTCAATTATGGCTCTGAGTCTCTGATTGATGAAGTTAGGAATTGAGTTTCGTGGTAGGTGGTTTTGCGTTGGGGAGTGGGGTTGTTACATGAGCTGAACTGCTCAGTTTTAAAAGAGGGGGGGGGGGGGGGGGGAGAGAGAGAGAGAGAGAGAGAGAGAGAGAACTGAGAAGGGGCTCAAGTGTAATTTTCGAGAATTTTGGGGTTTATTTGTCTATTACCTGAGAGAGAAAAACTGAGAAGAGTTTCTTCGTTTATTTGTCTATTATTTGTGTTTCCAGGATTTAGTGGTCTTACAGCCTATTGTGGGTTTTTCAATGTGTGTAAACCAAAGAAGGGGGAAAAAGTCTTTGTATCTGCTGCTTCTGGATCAGTGGGAAATTTGGTGGGACAGTATGCAAAGTTATTTGGCTGCTATGTTGTTGGTAGTGCAGGCAGCAGAAAAAAGGTCAGTTTGTAAGATTTTTCACAGCAAATAATTAGAGATTTTAACTCGTATGGGTTGGTTCCATAATCTAAAAAAAGGGCGAGGCATAAACTCGCATGTTTTTAGTTTGAATTTCATTGTCTAAATAGATCCCGAGTCTAATCAACGCACATTATTTGTGAGCGTGATTGCATGCATTAGAAGTTTGCGTTGAAACCATCAGTTCTGTCCAGAGAGGAAGATGGTTCAGGCAATTCCCCAGATCCAATTTTTTTTATAATAATTTAAAGTTCAAAATTGTTGAGAAAAGATTTGCTTAATATAATGATACCTTTCAAATCAATCATATAAGTTTTATCATTTAAAAGAACTAAAAAGGCCAACAAATTAGATGTTTGATAGTTGGAATTTGTTTTCTCTCTTTGTATTGACTTGAATTGTAGGTAGACATGCTGAAAGAGAAGCTTGGCTTTGATGATGCATTCAACTATAGGGAAGAAACTGATCTAAACTCAGCTCTGAAAAGGTTAGAATATTCTCAAAGTTAATGTGCTTGGAAATGAACAGCAAAAAAGCTGTTGTCTTTAACCATTTAATGTGTCATTACATATAAATGCTTGAGAGTTGAGCGCAATACCAAACACCGGCCACCCGGAGTCTTAAACAATTCGAACAACTTGAGTGTCTTAGCTCAAGTATGCTCAATTTGGCTCGAATGGGTTCTTGTCTATAATTGATTCTACGTTGATATCCAAACCACCCATATTTTAAAGATGAGTGATCCCAAATTTATCCACAAGTAGCTCAAGATTATTAGACTTCTCTCTAACTTTCTCTAATAAATTTTATAAAATTTGAAAATTTACGATTGCATTTGATTTTATTGCTGATTATACGTATTTTTTGACCTTTTTTTTTTTATGGAAAGTTGATTATTCTATGATTGATGGCTACGTTCTAGTACATCTAGTTTTGAAAATTTGCTGAAAATTTGTGTTCAAATTAATACTAGTTCAACTCACATGCTTGCAAGCTTCTATCGAACTAAATTTGATCGCGAAACTAATTTTAGAACCGGAGAATCACAATTCTATAACCCATTTTACATCAAGTTTGGCTCAAGCTCGAGCTCAAGTTGGATACTCAAACTCAACAAGCTCGATTAATAACTAATTTTCATTATTTGTATCAATAGGTACTTCCCTGATGGGATTGATATATACTTTGACAATGTGGGAGCAGAGATGCTAGAAGCAGCAGTTACCAACATGAACACATTCGGCAGAGTCGCCGTCTGTGGAGTAATCTCTGAGTATACAGACAGTGGAAAACGAGCTGCACTCCACATGGTCAACGTTGTGTACAAGAGAATCACAATTCAAGGGTTCTTATGTGTTGATCATATGACTGTGTTCGCAGATTTCATCACAACAACAACCGATCACCTTCGCACTGGGAAAATGCAGGCGCTCGAAGACATTTCAGTTGGTCTTGAGAGTGTCCCATCTGCTTTCATCGGACTATTTCGTGGTGATAATGTTGGGAAAAAGATTGTTCAAGTTGGTGAAGACTGAGCCTCATTTTTGAGAAAATTCTAATTTGCAAATGTCATTTTTCCTGGAAAATGAGATGTGATTTTCCTGGCATTGATCATACAACGGGTACCCATGCAATTTGAGTAAGTTTGTTTGGGGGAAGAGTAGCACCATTATTGTGTTATGAACAATAGTCTCAAGTATATCCACTCTTCTTTACCTATCAAACCCTTAGAGAAGCTTTAATTCGTTATCATTTAGCAGTTAATCAAGGACAGCTTGTTGACAGTGAGTATGCTCAAAATCTGCTCGGTTGAAACTGTCGAGCTTAGATTCATGCTTAAACTCGGCTTGGTAAAAGTGTTTGCGAATATTTGAACCAAACTTGAGTAAAACATGCAGCTCAAGTTTTTTAGCAAACTATTTCCAAAATTAAAGCTCAAAACTTAATAATCCATCTTAAAATAATTAGTTTAGCAATAAAAATCTTTCAAAATACATTTAATTAATCATAAATCATATATTTTATTTCCCATAGAGTACGTTTTCAGTTTATGGAAGGTGGTGTGTTTTGTAAACAGAAACAAAATCATCTGTATTGACCCGAAAACGACACGATTAATAAATTGAATGTTCGAATTAATTAGTACTTGATACTAACTAAAAATAAAACAATTCAAACAAGACACGGCATTAGTCGACTGTCATCTCTATGATGCTTGAGGTGGTGTACAAGTGAATCTCTTTTCGAGGATTCTTAGCTGCGCTGATCATGATATGGCTTTGTATGCAGATTTAATCACAACAACAGCTAATCACCTTGAAATTGTCAAAATGAAGGCACTTGAAGACATTTCAATTGGTCTTGTGAGTGTCTCATCTGCTTCCATAGGACTGTTTCGTGGTGATGATGGTTGGTGTTATGGACAATTCTACGTCTTAAATTTGTAAGCACTTGTTCTTTACCAATCAAAATCTTCCACAAATTTTAATTCTTACTTCTTAAAAGTGTTAATCGGGTTGAACTTAGTGTTTTTTGTGTCAATGAACTACAAAAAAAAAAAAAAAAAAAGACACTCAAGAGGTGTGATTTTTTCCACATAGCCACCAATGGACCATGAGTTTTTTTAATGAACACAATATATGTATAATTTAAATATATTTTACTTAACATTATAGTGTAATCACAAAATTCCAAAAGGACAATTAGACCATGAGTCAGAATATCTCCAATAGGCTCCATTTTGGCTCTAAAAAATAGAGTATAATTTGACTCTTTGGAGAGTCAAACTCACTCCCTATTATGTTTTTTTATACTAGAAAAAAGATATATTTGTCTTTTTGTCCTAGACATTTAGTATAAATATATTTCAACTACGTTAGATCCACTTTTTCCCTTTGTTTAAACCTCTGAATGGATGTTTTCGAATTTGTTTTCAAATTCCAAAAGCACAACATCAACATATTACGGTTAAGGGTAAATTATACTTACACTCCTAACATTTGACTAAATGACAGAGACCTCCTAACATTTCTAAAATTACACAGAGACCCCTTGTCGGCGCCAATAAATGACCGGCGTTAACCTAAGTGGTAAATGACAATTTTAACCCTTTAATTTAATTTAAAATAAAAAACACAATAAATAAAATATATTACAAAACATAAAATTAAACAAGATAAAAAAATATCTCTCTCTTGCTCTAGTATCTCAATCATCTCTTACCCCGCCGACCGCCGCCACCACCACTCTTCCTCCTCTCCTCTTCTCTCTCTCTACCACTTGCAACTCTTCTTCCTCCTCTTTCTCTACCACCTGCAACTCTTCTTCCTCCTCTCTCTCACTCTCAGATCCCCCAGGCCCCCCAACCCTTCTCTCTCTCTCTCTCTCTCAGATGCCCTGGCCCCCGCCCCTCCCTGCAACCAGCTGCCATCACCACTCCCTGCAACAAACCCCATCACAACCCTTCTCTCTCTCCGATCCCCCTGGCCCCCGCCCCTCCCTGCAACAAATCCCATCAGAACCCAGCTACCACCCAACCCAGCTGCCATCACCACGTCCAACCCCTTTCTCTTTCTCTCTCAGATCTCTCGGCCCTCGCGCCTTCCTGCAACAAACCCCATCGCAGCGCAACCCAGCTGCCACCATCACTCCAAACCCACCACTCCCAATCCCCATCTCTCTCTCTACCTCTTTCTTCTCTCTCCTTCTCAGATCCCCCAGGCCCCCCGCCCCTTCCCTGCAACAAACCCCATCGCACTCAACCCCAGTGGCCACCACGACCACCACTCCAAACCCATCACTCCCAACCCTTTTCTTTCTTTCTCTCTACCTCTCTCTTCTCTCTCCCTCTCAGAACCCCCAGCCCCTCCACCCCCTCCTAGCAACAACCCCCACTGCACCCAACCCTCCTAACCACCCAGCTGCCATTATCCTGGTTAATGGTAATTTTTGATTAATTTAATCAAAATGTAATGGTTTGATGTTGGTCTTTGATTAATTTTTATAATTGTATAATTAATGTTATTAAAATAATAAATTATTGATAATTAGTGGACAAGATTGTCTTAGAAAATGTTGGACATGTTTTAGGGATAATTTTGAAATTAGATAAATTTTATTAACTGACATCGCTATTTTCTGTTAGTCAGGCTAACGGCGGAAAAATGGAAGGGGTGCTCGTGTCGTTAATTTTTAAATTTCAGGGTATCACTGTGTAATTTTAGAAATGTTAGGGGTCTCTATGTCATTTAATCAAATATCAAGGAACGTGAGTATAATTTATCCTACTATTAAATTATTGCTTCAACTTATTTCTCTTGTTAATTAATTGACACTCTATTGATTCCATTTCACATCAAACACTTTTAGTTGGCGATCATCCCTCAACTTGTTTACTGATATGAGTACAGACATCTCTCTCTCTCTCTCTCTCTCTCTCTCTCTCTCTATATATATATATATATATATTTGGTGTAATATATATTGTTTGGTTTGTGTATATTGGTTTTCTAATTTATCGATTAATTTTTGTTAAAAGAATGGAGGCAAAATGGGTGGGAAGTCAAATTTATTTCAAAAAAGGACAAAATATAAAATAATAAGAATAAAGAGTCCTATTGGAGTGATGTTTAAAAGTTAACTCTCTATTTTAACTTTTTTCAAAAGATGCTCTCTATTTTAGAATGTATAATGTTATTTGAACCTAAAAATTTGACTTAATTTACGGACATAATGATATGGCTTCATAAGAATCATTGGATCAACACTAAGTTCTAATGTTTGATGAGACCTACTGTCATACCTCATCTCGAGAGACCTATTTAGTATCCCAAAGATAGAAGTATAACTTGACATGTGACAATATATGTGCTTCATAAGAATCATTGGATCAACACTAAGTTCTAATGTTTGATAGGACCTATTGTCATACCCCATCTCGAGAAAACTATTTAGTATCTCAAAGATAAAAGTATAACTTGACACGTGACAATACATATGTTATAATTCAGGAATGCATTTAAACTAATAACACTAACCGATAATCTCATAAAAAAGATAAATTGTACAACTCTGGCAAAGTGCACAACTTTGCAACTTAAACCAAAAAAATATATTAGAAAATTCATCCATTATATCAATAAGGAAACGAACACTCTTATACAAAATGTACAAAATCAGTTTCTTTAACCTTCCATCTCGACTCTCCTAGTGTTGTAGTGGACTCAAGTCTAAACTTCAGCTTACTGAAAACGAATATTTTCTTGAGTGTATTGCACATCATAATAAATACAAATATTAAAAATATTGATCAAATATTATTTCACTAAAATATGTTCATAATAAGAGGAGAACGACAAAATCAAAGTGTTTTTAACTCATTTTGAAATCTCATAATCACTGTCAATATAACAACGTAATAAATTGTCTACATATGCTATGAGTTAACAATAACATTTAAACAATGTCAAACAATCAACAATATTTAAGAAATATCAAGTTATCTACAACATTTAAGTAATGTCAAACTGTGTTACGATAATTACGCAATGTCCAAATTAACAAAATGTAAACTATATCAAGTTATCAACAACTCTAGGACAGTGGATACTTTTCAAATCATAAATTTTTCAACAAAACACAAATTTTTTTTAATAAGTCACAAGCTTTTCAACAAAACCTATTTAATCCTTTATTTGCTCAACTCAACATAAATCAAATAATCAAAACTTCATTTCACATAGTGAAAATAACTCATAGTAGTCATATAATTTTATTTTCAATTATTATGAAACATTACATTTCGCCTGTCACCACCAACCAACATACCACTCAGTTTTATGCTCAATCCTTAAGTGAAATCAGTATAATATCTTCTGGACGTAACACAAATCATATAACCATACACAATGAGTTCCAACTCCAAATAAATCAACGGTTTGCTAGGTCTGAATGAACTTCCCCTAAAAACTCAAGTACAAAACTTTTTGATTGTCTAAGAAAATTGAATACGAATGGACTTAATAAAGGATTTTAAAGATTGCATTCAAAATTTAGAAGAGTAACAATCCTAACCATAAGAGGGAGAGAAGGGAAGGACGCCAATCTAAAAAATTGATGAGATCTAGTATCTGTTTCAATGAGAGGTCTCCCCTATTTTTGCTTGAGCTTCAAGATAAAACCAAGAACAAATGTCACAACATTTAATGGGATAATGGACATAACCATTTATTGGAGAATAACTTTTGAAGAATGCCCCAGCTTCACATATGGATAGGAGCTCATTGCAATGACTCCATTGCCTCAAGTTTCCTCTATGATTGCAGAGGACGTCAAAGAAAAATAATATGCTCTTTCGTCATGCTTGAGAAAAGGAACCTACTATTTATAGAAGCTCAAAAACAAAGAATGTGTACCAAGAGAATTTAGTGCAGAAAAATTGCCACCAAAAATAGCATATAATTACCCATTATATGTACTATTATATACCATATATGGTGTATGTCTTTCCACTCTTTCTTTTTTCATATGGCAAAGATATATTAGTGATACTCAATCATGACCTTGCAAATATTTGTATGCATTTTCTACCCACTGCACTATATATTCTAACTTGGCTTCCCTATTTCCAAAAATATAAATGTTGGATTTATAAACTATATCACACCAACACAAAATTCATCTTACTTAATCACTTGACTGGCAAAAGCACAAATGTTAGACTTGGTTGAAGTGGACTTCCAAAAACCAGAACAACAAATGATAAAGGAGATGAGATTCGAACCCACAACCGCTCCTTTCACTTCATTATATTATACATATATCCACAAACAACTAGAAACACAAATTTCATGTTCTACGAATGAACTTGATTCCACTTCTTCTATAAAACAAAACACAAGTATCATAGAAGAAAAGATGATAATAGGATTAATAAATAGTATATTTAGTGATGAATTAGATATAATCTTCTTTTTTTTTTATAAGAGTGATGAATTACATATAATTAGCTAAATATTTTTCGATGTGTTGCCTATAATCAACTCATTATTTTTAACTCTTTGTAAGTAGATCACATACATAGGTGTATTTGTGTTTTTTTAACTAAACTGGGCTTAAATCCAAAAAAAGGGAAAGTAACCAAATGAAGAGTAAGTTAGTAGTTAAGGAAATCAACCAATATAAATGCTAACACACCCAAAAAAAAAAAGATAAAAAAAAAATTCAACAATAATTGTGTGCGAGAAAATAACATAGATATAGAAAAATGATGTGAAAAATAAAATTATTGAAACTTAATGATAGGATAATAATCGTGTAACTGACCTTTGTGGTTGTATCAAGATATGAAATTTTGATAAGAAACATTAACAGAAGCAAGGTCATATTATACACAGAGTTAACACAACCACCAAAATGGCGTATCAAAGCCATAGCGCTTTTTTTCCTTCCTCGTATACAAGCTTCGTTGATCAGTCATTCCCAAATACTCAGCCTATCCCCAAAAACATGAACCACTAATAAGAGGCAACATTAAGAAAATAAATAACAATGCCATATAATTAAATTATAATAAAACAATCTGATACAATTTAACACATCAAACTAAATGTCGTGAAAATGCTTTCTTTCTTTTTAAGATGCTTTATTCAAGACATTTTTTAGCTGGTAGCATACTTGATAAATGGCCTGGATTGTGTTGCTATTTCAATACAAATCTGATCAGATTTATCAAGATGATCTCTTTTAATGATCCAAACATGAATAGAAACAAATGAGACTTTTAACCAGGTCAATCATTCCCATTGACCACAGCTATAAGAACACATGTGATATGCTTTATATTATAGGACTATATTACTGTTTGTCTAAAAATAACAAACCTCCAATTTTTTTTCCATCCCCAAGACCCGATTCTCCATTTTTATCCCGAAATAATGAATTGAGTTCGTATAAAAACTTTGGATGCTCCTATTTCTTGCTATATTTTTAGTTATTCCAACCATTTCATAAAGTATTTGACCTAGTATAACAATAGCTACCTAATATTTAGGGATCCTTTCCCCTAACCCATACAACTGGTATCAAATAAATTACTACCCAATGCTCACACAACATTCGAGTTTATTCAAGAAAGCACTTTATACTTTTCGCATGAACTCCATAAATTTTGCCACTAGGTAGGCCAATTGCATGTGTGGCCGCAACTCATTTTCTATATCCAATCATAGCACAAATTTTGCAATCATGAACAACTTGGACTTGTAGGATTTGATTTTGAAATTTGAAATCACACAATGAACGACAAAAACACCAGTCTGTATAATGGCACATGCAAACAAATCCCTCATAAATTCATTAGAACTTGGTTGAATTAAATAAAAGATGAAAGATTAGTTATTCAGATTTGCCAAATATTACTATAATTGTCATGTCTTGACCACTTCTAGAAGTCCTGTTTGATTACTAAACCTTGAAAAGAGTCAAATGCAACATCAAAAACCAATTTAAGAAGCCTTTAAGGAAAATATAATTTCTTATGTAGTAAATCAATCAAACTACTATCACCCACCTTATTAGGTGCTGTCCAATGAAGAGGAAAGACATGAATCCCAAACCTAATTGATGGAAAGAATGACGATGCAGAGACGGGTCATCTGTCTCTCTTATTGGGTTATGGAGATGGAGAAGAAGTGACGACGACAATCACTGGCAACGATCTTCTTATTCAAAACTTGA